AACTAGATTAGCCCTCTGGCTCACTTTGTCTTCTGGATCAGTGACTGCTGTGAAAATAAGCAAAGAGCAGAACAACTCTGGGAAGAACTTTGAGGTGTGTTAGCATGTACAGATCCTAATGAGCTCTGGCTTGCGTGATGAGCTGGAAAAGCACGCACCGAATTGGAACAATGTTTGCAAGAAAGAGAGCACATCCTGCAAAATGTCTCCTTTCCAGGCTTGTCCTGTTGGGGAAAATTAATGGCTGTTTTCCATATGTTGGGTTCTATTGCCTATTTGCATCCAAACACTTTGTAGAATATTAGCTCTTCCCAGAATCCCCGTAGCATTCTGTCCAAAGGGCTTTGCTTTGTGATTACTAATAACTTGCAAATCTCCATTCCTGGGATGGTTGTAGAAGCTCAACATTTGTGTCCCTACCTTAAGCTGTACTTGGTTCTGTTTGGGCACAAGGTCAATTGCAGTGATCTGCTTAGCAGCTTAAAGGTGATAATAGGCCAGTATAGTTTGTCTTGCAACATGACCCTAAATATCTTCACACCAGCTGCAGAGTGTAGCTAACTGTAACTAGCAGTGTTGCATAGCATGTCCGGTTTACTAAAATAACAGTGCCAGAACACTATAGGTACTCTAATGCACTAGGGTTTTTTGCGACTTTTATTACTCTTATCCCTAATTTACCTTTTTTGTGACTTTACTGGATACAGCTGAAGTATTTTAGAGCCCTGACTTAAGGGCAGTAAGTAAACATCCTCATGACAGCAATATTTGTGTTACTCATAAGAACATAAGAATGGCCCTACTGGGTCAGACCAAAGGTCCATCTAGCCCAGTATCCTGTCTTCTGACAGTGGCCAGTGCCAGGTGCCCCAGAGGGAATGAAAAGAACAGGTAATCATCAAATGATCCATCCCCTTTCTCTCATTCCCAGCTTCTGGCAAACAGAGGCTAGGGACACCATTCCTGCCTATCCTGGCTAATAGCCCTTGGTGGACCTATCCTCCATGAATTTATCTACTTCTTTTTTGAACCCCGTTATGGTCTTGGCCTTCAGAACATCCTCTGGCAAGGAGTTCCACAGGTTGACTGTGTGTTGTGTGAATACTTCCTTTTATTTGTGTTAAACCTACTACCTATTAATTTCATTTGGTGACCCCTAGTTCTTGTGTTATGAGAAGTAGTAAACAACACTTCCTTATCTACTTTCTCTACACCCAGTCATGATTTTATAGACCTCAATCATATCTCCCCTTAGCCGTCTCTTTTCCAAGCTGAAAAGTCCCAGTCTTATTAATCTCTCCGTAGAAGGAAGCCGTTCCATACCCCTAATAATTTTTGTTGCCCTTTTCTGAACCTTTTCCCATTCCAGTATATCTTTTTTTGAGATGAGGCGACCACATCTGCATGCAGTATTCACGATGCGGGTGTACCATGGATTTATACAGAGGCAACATGATATTTTCTGTCCTATTTTCTATCCCTTTCTTAATTATTCCCAGCATTCTGTTCGCTTTTTTGACTGCTGCTGCACATTGAATGGATATTTTCAGAGAACTATCCACAATGACTCCCAAGATCTCGTCCTTGAGTGGGAACAGCTAATTTAGACCCCATTGTTTTATATCTATAGTTGGGATTACGTTTTCCAATGTGCATTACTTTGCATTTATCAACATTGAATTTCATCTGCCATTTTGTTGCCCAGTCACCCAGTTTTGAGAGAACCTTTTGTAGCTCTTCCCAGTCTGCCTGGGTCTTAACTATCTTTAGTAATTTTATATCATCTGCAAATTTTGCCACTCATGTCAGCTGAGGCCCATGTTACTTGTTATCCCAGGTGCAATTGTTTTAAAGGGGGTGGGTAGTGCAGGGAAGTTCAGTGTATCAATCTAAACACATTTCTGAATCTTCCTAGTATTCGGGCTCTAGATTCTGTTGCTGACGCAGTACTTGACACGCTATGTGACATTCGGTCTCTCTGCAGCTTTCCCCATCTGGGGGATGGTGAAGGAAAAAGAGGATGTGAAAGTTCCATATGAAGCAGTATTGCAAATAGCCTATAGCTGTTCCAAGGTTCAGTTCTGTTACTTCCTGTTATCAGAGCTCAAAACCCTTTGGTCTGGATCTTTCAAGCTGCTCTTTTCAAATGCAGCCTAAATCTTTTGCTGTGTCAGACTCCTGGTTCATGAATTCTTTACTTAATTTCCCCTTTTAGCGAAACAGAGAACTGGGCACTTTTTTTATGGGGCTTTACAGCTAAATTCCTCACTTGCAAGGTTCGAGATGGGAAGGAATTAAACGCTGCACAGATGTCAGTCTGTGTAGTGAGTATCTGAAATGCAAAGGCAGGCAATTAAATAAGAAGGGTACGTGAAAACATATTTTCCCCCTGATTTCAGGAATGCCATTTATTTGACCATCCATTGTACCAAAGTGGAGTGTAAAGAGACCTAAATTTAGATTAAGGCGTGTCTTTAGGGAAAACGTGCATCAAACTAGATCAGATATGGGTGTGTTTGATTATGGATGAATATCAGTTGGGGTTTGGGGAATCTGTTTTTGTGATCTATCTGAACACGGGTATACCTTCCAGTGAATTAGTAGGGGTGGGAGTACAAGACCTTGAAGGACTTAGTATGAACTAAGGGAGAACTAAGGCAGTGTGGGTGTGACAGTGCTGTTCTCTAAACATGTTAGGGAAACATAGAGCCTAGATCTCAAACTAATCCTGCTCCGGAGATCTACGCTGGTTAGTGTGGTTAACGCCTGTAGTGCCCATGTAGTCTTTTTACAAAATCTTTGGAAAGTTCAAGGCTATCAGGATACAACAAGTATTGTAACCACCTGCCCTGATTTGATTGGGGGGGGAGAGATAGCTCAGTGGTTTGAGCATTGGCCTGCTAAACCCAGGGTTGAGTTCAATCCTTGAGGGGGCCGTTTAGGGATTTGGGGATTTAGTTGGGGATTGGTCCTGCTTTGAGCAGCACTAGATGACCTCCTGAGGTCCCTTCCAACCCTGATATTCTATGATTATATTTGTAATGTAGACAAACCCCAAGATTTTGACCTGTACTATGACGATCCCTAATTCGGTGTTAGAACCATGGGATGTCCTGTCTACACTAGTGACAAAGTATTGGAACAAACACTCTTAATCATGGCTGGCGCCCCGTTAAACTCAATACCATTAAAACTGAGTCCTGCATGCCCACTTCAGGAAGACATTGCCCAATAAACATCATTATTGATGTTAACGATGTTCTTGGCATTCTACAGGGCACAAATACAGCCCTTGCCCCAAAGAGCTTAACACTTCAACAGTAGTCACACAGCCTGAACACTCTCAGAAATCAGAGGTGGGGAAAACGTGGGTTTTTAAGTGGCTTTTTTTGAGGGAAGAGGGTGTTACGCTGGAGAACTAAGAGCGAGGGTGTTTGGCATTGCGCACACAGTCTCTGTCATCTCTCTGGCTCTTATGTGCAGGAGAGAGGTGTGAAGATTTTTGTATGAGTCTTCCTGGCACTTTTAATTTCTTTCAAAATGGCCAGTCTCTTAATTCGAGCCAGGAAAATTGTGGAAGAGTGGTAAGAGGGAGAAGCCAATTGTTTGTCTTTCAGTAGACACAGCAGAACGCTCTCTTTCGGCTGGCTGACCAGTTAATGGTAGCCGTTAACTGACTTTGAGTTAAAAAGACCTTTCAGAAATAAAATCTCTCCCCTTAATGAACATGCATATATAAAACTGTAGCTTGGAGGAATGGTGTGAAGTTCCCCTATTGATAAAAATGAGCTTGGAGCTCTGAAGAGGGTTGGAAAGAGAATTGCAATTTAAATGTCTTCCTCCTTTGAAATTCTGTACAGGAACTTAATCCAGTGTATGCTCCCACCCCCTACACCCCAAACAGTGATCAAAACTGCCAAGCTATGGACATTAAGTGACCCCACCTAACTTCCTCCACCGGTGCAGATAATCTGGAAATTTTAACTTAGAGGGCTGATTGTAAAATAGACAAATCTGGTGCCAGTTGAACATGTACACAATTTATTGGGGTGTATCTTCCTCATGTGTGCATGGAGGGCTTATTAGCTTTAATGGGAGTTAAGTGCTTTGAGAGATTATTAATTGCAGTCTGGCCGGCAATGCACAGTGTCTTGTTCCTCCCACCTGCTGTGCCTTCTGTTCCTTCCGGTAAGATCATGCCTGCTTGCAATGAGTGCCTGCTGAGGCATGTCTAGTCTGCTGTACTGTTTGTGCAGAGTATGTCCTCCCTCACAGCTTGGAACTGACTGGGCTCTCGTCAGTTTCATTCAGGTCATCCCCTCCTCCAGGGCTGTGGAATCTTAATGCAAGGAAGCAGGGAAACAGCAACCCCATCCTAAATGTAAATCCCTCATCTCTTATGCAGTGAAAACTGGGCTGTCACCTGACCCAATGACCACAAAGTCTCCGTCTCTAAGGGTATGTCTACACTACGGGATTAATCCAAATTTAGATAATTCGAATTTGGGAAACAGGTTGTATAAATTCGATTGTGCGCGGCCACACTAAGCACATTAATTCGGTTTTTAACCACATTAATTCGGTGGTGTGCGGCCACACTACCCCATTAATTTAACCACATTAATTCGGTGGTGTGCGGCCACACTAACCCTAATTCGAATTAACAAAATCGATTTTGGCGCTACTCCACTCGTCGAGGTGGAGTACCGAAATCGATTTTAAGTGCCCTTTAATTCGAATTAACTGGCTCTGTAGTGTGGATGGGTGAAGGGTTAATTCGGATTAACGCTGCTAAATCCGAATTAAAGTCGTAGTGTAGACCAGGCCTAAGATTTTCTCCGTTGACTACAGCCAGCTGCTAAATTGGCCGGAAAAATAACAGTTCCGTTAGTTGTGTGTGTTAGGCAAGAAAACTGCCGCTTAACCAAAATACAGGTAGCTGCTGCTTTGTTGGCATTAGGCAATTAGCCAGTATAATGCACTATTTAATTAAAACTTACCATCCAGCTTCTTTTTAAGCTTCAGGTCCAAACACTTAAGTTCCCTCATTGTAGTTTAGTAACAAAAACAATGCACGTGCTGTTCTGGTTCCAGTGAGACAGATTCATCTGTTAGTGCTTGTTCATGAGCTGCATATAAATTTTAAACCCATTATGCTGTCTGAAGGTCTCTGTGAGGTGAAGAGATAGCAGAGAGTCTTGATGCGTTCCTTAACGAAGCGCCCACAACTAGACGCGCGCCGAGGGAATGCAGAGAGTGCAACACGTGTCTTTTACGGGAAAAAATCCAAACCGCTATTGTGTCGAAACGTGTTCCTTGCCTGTTCCCTTCCATGAGGGGGCTGCAAATGCACATTTGAGTTCACTTGAGTCCTCAGACATCCCAGTATGAATTGCAGCTTTGTACAAATGTGAATTGAATTTAGCTGAGCCCAGTGTTTTTCTTAACTTCCCTAGCCCTCCATTTTTATAAAGTAAGGTATTCAGTGAGTCATATGGCCCTGGCTGTAATAGAATAACCATTGATGTAAGAGACCTTGGCCGTTTGCTGACATGCACAGAAAACTGAAAGGTTCATTGCATGAGGCTGACCCGATAATCTTTCCAGCTAGAGTTAAGAGCCCTGAAGTAGTTGCTTTTCTTGCACTCGTCAGGTGAATTTGTCTGTCCCTCCATGTGCTTCTAAAAGCTACTGCTAAATTTAAGGAATAATCCAAAAGAGCGATGCAAAGCTAAAATGAGTAGAAGTCCAGCACCGTTTGCTAGATTCCCCACCTGGCAAATCGAAGTCGTCTGTAACTCTGGAGACACTGATGATGTGCCAATATGATAAATTCTGGGATACCATTAATAAACCAACAAGAGCTTGGCCGCCATCATGAATGGGAAAGAATTGACAATTTCATCTGGATGTTGCCCACAACTTGCGTAATGGTACAGGTAGATGGGAGGGCGGGGCAAGGATGATCAGGTACATGTTCAGGATGTTCAGGTCTGGTTTTACAGTTCACCTTAGAGGTGGTTCAGACACAAGTCTTCCTTCCCCCTGTACTTAAGATCACTGAACTTCAGACACGGCTGGCTGAATCGCTCAGGTACCATGAGTGCTCTAGAAGGGTATATAAACGAATGAGCATAAGTACATTCATATTATTCACAGATGTTAATACATAAAGATCACAATAACTTATCAGCCAGCTGAACTGAAGACTATCCAGTACTGCAGTGTAATAAAGCCAATGGAAACATTTTCAGCCAAAATAAAGAACCAGCTGTAAAAATACAGGCCGTAGGGATGCTGTCAGCAGCTGGTCGTTGGCTGAAGGTCGTTTAAGAAGGCCCTCACAGCTGCCTTTAGGAATCAAGTCCTGTGTATTTCAGCAGGCCATTTTAAGTGCCTTCTAGGGCTTTTTAAAAAATTGTTGCCTCTCTGTTCCCAGCTAGGAACTAATCCCATAGTGTCTGGGGCGGTGAGCTTGAAGTTGTCTGTTTTGTCTTGGCGCCAGTTCCCATTGCCACATTACGTTTAGGGACTGAAGAGACCTAGCGGGAGGTGCAGTCACTCAAGTCCTTGGAGCCTGGAAGTTAAAGAGCCTGGAATAGCAGAATGATACTTTTGTGCAATGCAAACTTCTAGCTGCAGTAACTTAGAAAAATTGGTGCAATTTAATCATGTTTTGTTGCAAAGGGTTACTGATTCATCAAAGCTGTTAATTGGTTTCAGTATGAAAAACAAATGTGTAACTGTTTGGTGAGATAAATATGCGCGTCAGGGATAGTGAATGCCTCTCTTATTAGACATGGTGATTCCCAATGCAGTGAGATTGCTCTTCTTTGCCTCTTCTGCACTTGACAGGCAATATTTGCTTCTATCCTCATTAGACTGTTACTGCAATGACTAATGTAAGGCTCCCCTGTAGAAAGGTAAAAGGGAATGAGAATACCGAGGAGTTCCACAGTGCCTTCTATCTAAGCCATCCATAAGCTCTAACCAATTGTGAGGTGAGTAGGTTGTATTGTCCCCCTTTTTTCCACAAATGGGGTAGCCCAGGCATAGAAGCTGTCTTGGAAGCCTGGGCAGAGCGGGGAATAGAATCTAGATCTCCAGACTCCCAGACCAGTGTCTTACCCAGGAGACTATTTATGATCAGCTGGACACAGAGTCTAGTAGCGTCTTCACTCTCCAAGGAGCCCATGGTACTGGCTAAACTGTGTATGGGAATTGTTTTTCCAGCTTCTGAAACATAGCTACCCATGGGGCAGTACTCGGCTGGATACAACGCTATGACCCCAGCTTAGGTCAGGAAGCGGACAGCACCTTTCTAGACTAGTGCTTTAAAAATAAGACTTGCAAGCAGGTTCATGTAAGTTAGTCAGTCTATTAATAGTTCTCCAAAGCAGTGTTTTACTCTCCTTCTAAACACTGTCACTCTGCTTTCTTTCCCTCATTGTTTAAACATTAACACATGTTCCAGAATCCTGTTTACTTTGCCTAAGAAGCTAACAACAGTGTGTTCAAAACAGGTCAGGCTCTGAGGATTTTTACATTCTAGAAAACCACCCTTTCTTGAATGCTTTAGCAGCTGTTTGTGATTTACTTGGTATTTAGTTACAGTAGTGTTAAGAGGCATTAAGTATTCAACATCCCTTATCCTTTTGGTCTTGTCTCTTCATGCCCCTTGTTCTTCAGACCTCTCTTGTGGCTAAAAATAGGCTTGCACCTGGGTATTGAGCAGGTAAATCGCACGTGTACCGTTTTAGAAGAGTTAGCCGCGGTGTCAAATTATTTTTAAAGGTAAAATCCCCATCCTGTAGGATGCTGTGTTGGAAGCATCCAGGTTTACTACACTGATTCTCTACTGGTGGTCTTTTTCTCAGTTAAGAACAATAGCCTAACTCTTGTGAACAAATAGTGCAGAATCATGCAGGGCATTTTAATGGCGATTACAGAGTCTCTTTTAAAAAAAAAAAAAAAAATCCACCACCACTGTAAATATATTGCAAAATATGTTGAAGTAGAACAATCCTCTGTCTCCTGCTGAAAGACGTCCTTTTATTACAGTGGAACGGGATTAAAAGTTAATTTCCTGAATTGATGGAAATGAGGTGGGTGGCTCAGTGGACATTTGTAGGAGGTACATTCTTTGCACAGGCAGAATGTAGAATTACATTAATGTGATTCACAGTATGAAAGATCAGTGCAAAGTTCCTGAGAACCACACTGTGTACACAAATACCTCTTTGTCTGTTAGGTGCATAAGACATTTGTATGAATGTGAGGGAGTGACTGCAGGTGTCATGTGTCTTAGAGGGTCAGGCTGCAGAGCTAATACCAGAAACATCATTTTACCATTTCCAGCATATGCAGAGGGCTGACTGGAGCAAGCTTCTTACTTAATGCAACAGCTAAAATGTCTAGCAGAGCTAGGCTGTGTGAAACAATCTGCATGAGCTTACAGCACGCAAACATTGTTACATACTTCCTTTGTATACTAGAGAGTAGGGTTCCGGTGTGGCTATGAAATTCTATTGGGCTAGCAATGCTAAGGAGTTACCTTCATAGGAGTCTAAATCTATATTTTGAGCCTTTATTATTAATCTAGTGGAATAGTTAAATGGGCTTCATTGCTTGTGTATCTAGCTAGTCCATGGAATATAAATTGCCTTGCATGTGGTATTATGCTCCCTATTCTCTATCAGTGAACGCAAGTTAAATAAAACTGGCTCCATCTGGAAATTAGTCTTTTTGCTACCGAGTGAAATGAGTAAGGATATGAGACTTGAGACAGAAAGAACTGAGTGTTAACAGTCCTGGGATATTCTCAATAGTGCTGTTGCCTAAATCTCTCTCTCAATACCTATAGGTTTAGATAATGGAAAATGGGAGTCCAGAAATGCTGCGTACAGTTCTGCTGTCCACATCTTAAAAGGATGTTGATAAATTGGAGAGTGTGCAAAAAAAAAAAGCTATAAAAATGATTTGAGGACTCGATAAAATGCTTTACGGTGTGATGTAAGGTGCTCAATATATTTAGCTTATGAAAAAGATGGAGAGGTGATTTGATTAGTGTATAAGCATCTTTACAGGAAGAAAGTACTGGTTACTCAAGACCTCTTTAATCTAGCAGAGAATAACATAACAAGAACTGATGGCTGGAAGCAGACATTCCAATTAGAAATAAGCACAGTCAGGCTGATTAACCATTGGAATGACCTACCCAAGGAAGTGGTAGCTTCTCCATAGGTTCATGTCTTTGGACCAAGACTGGATGTCTTTCTGGAAGAGGCACCTTAGCCAAATACAAATTATTGTGCTCAATAAGAGAGAGAACTGGGTGGAATTTTAATGGCTTGTGCTCTAGAGGAGGTCAGACTGTAGATAATTTAATGGCTCCTTCTGGCTTTAAGATCTGTGAGTAAGCCCATAGTGGACTTAAATACGGTGTAACTTTTAGAGCAGGTGTATGTATTTTGGTGGAGGACACAAAGTTTTTGGCCAAATAAATGAGTAATTTAAAATGTGATTAACTTTGAAAAGTAGCTGAAAATTGCACTTCATTTAATGAAAATATCTGCAGCTCTAGGAGAGGGAGCTAGATTCTCGTCCTCTGGTGCGTCAGCAACAGAACTGTTCACGGTGTTCCATTAAGTTACACTTGTACAACCCCACTGAGTGCTCTGAGGTCATAGAGGTATAGCTGTGGGTCTCCAATTTGCTATGCAGCTCTAAGTGGCCAGTGGTTTCCAGTGGATAATCCCCCCCCCCTCCCCCCAGGTGGTAGGAATTTCTGCTGGCAATAGCACCAACTCCTACACAAGTCCCCTCCAAACCTGCCATAAGACCGGTATGAGGGAGTGTGGCGGAGTTGAGCTCCGCTACTCCGGAACCCCCTTTTGTGGTGTATGGAGCCTCTCACCAGAGCTAGTTGACCCTGAATTGGGGAGCTACAACCTGCTCCCTGCAGCTGCTCCCCCCCAGTACGTCAGCACAGCTTAGGCATAGAGAGGAACTGGGGCCTGTATGTTCTACCACTGAGCTATGGAATCCTGACTCTTGGTATCAACAAGCCACCTTAGGGCTTTACTCTCTCTTTCCATTAACCACACAAAGGAATGAAAAGAACATGAAGATAAGCTATAGTGACTCACCTTTGAATATGTATGTGGGATACTAAACGACCAGTATATTTGTAATTGCTTTTAACACACGTACGGATCTCTCTTGGACACACATGTAAGTACACCAAATACTGGTGACATTTTCCACCACATAAGAACGGCCACACTGGGTCAGACCAGTGATCCATCTAGCCTTGTATCCTGTCTTCCGACAGTGGCTAATGTCAGGTGTTTCAGAGGGAATGAACAGAACAGGCAATCATCATGTCATCCATCCCGTCGCCCATTCCCAGCTTCTGGCAAACAGAGGCTAGGGA